AGGTAACTACCTATACTTTAGATCAAGAGCAAAGGCAAGCTACAGTAATTAGGAAAACTACCATATGAAGTTCCCTGATCTACAGAAGAATACTTACAATACATTTTTATTATTTTGATTTCCTCGATGTGATGAGAACAAAAAGATTTTAAAACTTCAGAGAGCTGCAAAACAACAGTTAAAGGCTTCTATATTCACTGGGCACAACATAACCCTACAATACTCAGGGGTTTATTGGATATAGTTGAAGAATATATAAAATCAGTTTTGATTAAAGGGATAGATGACTTATTAACAGCCATTGTTCAGTTGTCTTCCATCAGACTAAATTTTAATAGCAAGACAGGCAGCATTAAAAAAATATATAATACTCTTAGATCCTCATAGATGCTTCTGAAGCTCAGGTTAAATGAAGTCTGTTTAACAATCCCATCACCATTAAGTAACTCATTAGGAAATAAAGTAATTATCAAATGGGAAATATGAGGTAATTATGACTCTGAAACAGATGACATACAATTGCTAAAAGGGGGCGAGGTGTCTCTTAGTCATATGTCAGAGATTTACAGTATTATATCTCATTCTCATTTTAACCACTAGTGGTATGTTGGCAATAAACCTACTATTTAGATTTCAAAATAATCCAAACAGATTGTTACAAAAAAAAAATTCTTGTGTGTGTGTTGATATTAAAAAAAATCATGACACTAATAATGTGACTCTACTAGTATTAGGTAGGAACAGCAAGGTGCCACCTATTTTTATTTATTAAACAACTCATATAGCTATCCACTTTATGCACCATAATCCTAAGTATTTTACAAACAGGAAATCAAACAGTAAAAACAAAACTTCATAACATAATTATGAATCTATTTACTTTGTAAGTCTTATAAGAACATGTATTCATGGAAATTCAACTACTGGAATCCTAAGAAATAAAATTTCAGTGTTGAAATCAGACAGAATTAACTATTTACAATGTTCTTGCATCAATCAGCATATTAAGTACAACTGGAATTATGAATACAATTAGAATTTCTAACTCAAAAAGGACGTTCTTGATCTGGAAATAGTTACCTGCATAATTGAACTGAAAATGGTGTATAAACTACAAGTGGTTTTCTTTTCCCTAATATAAGATCGTCATACAGGGCTTTTACATACTATGCCATAACTTGGAATGCTAAGAAATTGAAGAATCACTGAACAATTATTTTTATTAAGAATTCTTCACTAGATTAACTAGTGTACTATACGCAACTGAGAAAGTAGTGTTGAAAAATACCTGTCTGGAGTTGGGATAAAACAAAAAGCAGTTCTGATATGACCTATTTAATAAAAATTAGCACCTTAAATTTGTCATTGGGTGAAATTGAAGGTACACAGTATTTCAAAGGAGATCTGTATTTTTAATTATCTTACTGAAATTTTTAATTCTTCACTGAAAGAAATAAAAACGGATACAAATACTCAGTAATTCTCAGTTAATGACTGCCCTCTTTAGTGCCTGTTCAAAGTTATGACAGTGCTGAAAATGGATTTATTATCATCACAGTGTCGCACAATCATGTGATCACATTTGCACGTTTCACAGCCAACAAACAAAGTCAATGGAGAAGCCAGCAATGAAATTACAAATTGCAGTCATGTGATGTTTCACTTAATGACTGCAAATGTTTCACTTAATGACTGCAAATGTTTTGCTTAATGACTGCAGCAAAATTACTTACATCATAAATCCAGAATGGCCATGTGATGTTTAATGATGGTGTCACTTAGCAACAGAACTATGAGCATTAAGTGAGGAATATATGTACAGGAAAAGCAACCATTGTCCACTATTTTCTAATTTCTTTAGTTCATGAATATGAAAAGGCTTGAGAAGCAGTTCTTTTCACATAATTAAAGCATTCTCCAGACCTTTTCATATATATGTTACGTTTACAAGAGCCCACCAATAATGTTTGAACTAAGAACTGAAAAGGTATGTTGCCTTTCTTAAACTTCTACAACATGAAAAGGGCTTCAAAATCTCCAATATATTTTATATTTGTATATTTTAGTATCCAATATCAGTGGGAAAGCAGAAGATAGACATACAAGACATGGCTTTTCCATCAAGCGGGATTGGCCTAGGGGGGGNGGGGGGGATTTTATAGGGATTTTAATAGGGATTTTATAATTTTTCTAATAACAGGTTTATCTAATATATATTTTAATTTGGTTTTTAGATATTTATTGTATAGCTCTGTTTTTACTTACCTGTAAGCCGCCCTGAGTCCCTCGGGAGAAGGGCGGGGTATAAATTAAAGTATTATTATTATTATTATTATTATTATTACAATGTATCTTAAAAACTTTGAATGCAGGATGCTTGTAAAGAATTAACATTACCACTAAGTCAGTTTCAATCATCAGCCAATATTAACAGTTCATCAACACTAGACAACATTTTAAAAAGAATTTCCTCTTAGATACAATTAAATATAGTGAAAGCAAACTAAAATTAATTTTTCCATTCCTGTTGAGTAAAAGTTTTCTCACTCAAACAGCAGGGGGCACTAATACCTTCCCCACAATATTTTTTTCTCTTTAAAAACATTTACAAATATGAATACTAATTTCAAATATTTTTACAGAAATAAGGTATGAAAAAACACTAGGATATGCATATAAGCAACAATCCAAAGGAACCATGGCAAATAACAAAGCTGTGTGTAAGTATCCACACGGTAGTACTCCAAATGCTATCTGTATTGATTATAGTTACTCTGTAAATATGTCAGCCTTTCCACCCCAGCAAGGATCACTACATGCAACACTTACTATAGGAGCACATTCAGGTGGTCTGTTTGTTAAAACTGATGAATCACATTTTCATCTTATTAAACGAGGATGATAACTGCATCAAGGTAAGAACTGTACACTATCTAGAAGTGAAGAAGTCTGTACTCTTATCGTCCTGGACATTTAAACTAAATAGAAATATATATGATAGCTTACATTAGACACAGTTCTAGTTATCCCAACCTCCTTTGAAATTTGCTTTGATCATTGATGTGTTGGAACCGTATCATAAAAGCATCCCTATCAACCACACATTTCCATAATCAGAACATAAAAGCATAAGCGGTGTCCTGCTGGATTGGACCCTCCCTCCCGCCTATCTAGTCTAGCAGTTTGTTCCCACAGTGGCCAATCAAGGGCACAAGAAAGTCCACTAGTGTCCCAAAGTGAAAGGCAAATGGCCTTCAAAGACAGTGACACTAATTGATACTGCTCTCTGTGACTTCCAGGAACTGGTCCAACTGTTTTCTGAAGCAAGTCCAACATTTCTTTGAAGCCAAGATTTGAAGTCAAGATTTAAGATGCAGGAAATAGTAATAATAAATGAAAAAAAAACTATAGCACATTTCTAATGATACAGTGCTGGCTTGCATAAATCATTCAGCGCTGATTATGAACAATCTCATCAATTAAATATCACTCCTTTAAGAATTTTCCACTAAACTTTGCCCTGATAATTCTATAAACAAATTCTGTACCAAATATCAGCATTCTATCTAATGGTGAAATCCAAACTGGCCCTGAAAAGGGCATAAGAACATGCCAACAAATCTGTATACAGATCCTAAAAGTCCATATGAGTTGGAATAAGTGATCAGATTAAACAGACTGGCTACATCATAGAAATCAAAAGCTCTCTATTATTCATCATTCACATTGTAAAGGTGGCTAGTAACTGAAATACACACAATGTAATACTGCTGCTGGCACTAAATAAATATTAGTGCTATTATAATATAATTTACCAATCTGTTCTATCAGTTAGTCTATAATTTTCTCTACAGCGACAAAGCATATAATGGTACAAGTATGAACCTGTTTTATCTAGCATTCATCATTCATTGTCATAATTTAACCATGCTCTTTCCATTTCAGTTAGACACTTAGTGTAAATTGTACATCTTTACAATCTTAACAGTTCTTGCAATTATTCTTTTTTAAAATACAATACTGTACCTCCCACCCACAATAAAATATATTTTAGGCACCATAATTTAAAGACATATTGGTAAGTGGGGTACTAAATTACTTTTTTTCTGGATGTAAACAGAAAATGGAAGGAAATTATTTTGTCAACTTTCAGTGCACACGAGGATTCACAAATGGTTCTTGGGATAACAGGAATTCAATGTTCCTTAGGGACTGATCCAGGAAAACAGCACAAGAGAACATGGTAATCTGTAGACCGAGGAAAGTGGTCAAGTATAAAAGAAAAAGAAGCACAGGAATAGGTCTTTAAAACAATTAGGAAAAGCACCTTTCCAGTCAGACTCTGACAATACTGTCACAATTGTAATATTTATAACTTATATAGAAATGTGTATGTCCATGGGACTCAGAAATGTTGTTTTCTTTTGAAGTATCATATGTACTTAGTATTTTACCATATTGATCAATAACGGCCGTGGTTATCCATTTTCAAACTTTGATAAGGTGACCTTGTTTTGTAGGTAAAGAGAAAAGAAAATGGTGGGATAACTCATTACATTAAAATACTGTCCTCTGTCCACTCCCAACATTTCTTATCCAGATAGGACACTTCTTGGAACCACTATTGCCCTCACCTGCTCTTGAATCAAGCAAGTAACAACCAGAATGCAAATCTAATATGCTCATGCAATTAGGAAGACATCTTACTTTATACCAGAACATAACACAACATTCATGGAATATATCAATAGGGACAGTTGATTCTTAGCAGGTGAACTAGGCTTGGAAAAAACCTGGAAGCAGAAATGATGCTGTAAACATCATTGGAAATGGCGCAGTTTGTGTGAGACTTCCGGGGCTGAGGAGTAAAAAATATTCTGTACGCAGAAGAGGATATTGTGTTTTGTCTCTAATATTAAATTATAAACTGCATCAAAAACCAGAATAAATTAAAGTCTTTTGTAAAATACATTATTGAAAAGAAAGTACTATTTTCTCACCTTATTTCGGGAAAAAGAGCACCTTTTAAGGAAAGGTAAAACTTGTTGCTGCGGTTGTCTTGAAGAGGTGAAGAAAAAAGCTCAGTGCTTAGATTGTCTCTTTAACTTGATGTGTCTGTGATTGAAAATCTGAAGAAAGGCAAAAAATACATGAAAAGCAGTTAATAATTTACCATCCATTTACAAAGTAGCAAGTATATGAAATGCATTTTGAATAAAGCAGAATAATGGATGGTGAAGTGGGCTATAGCTCTCATAGGTTATGCCACTACAATGTCTGTGAGGCTGCAATTCAATGCACATTATCTGAAAAGAGGTCCCATTGAGCTCAATGAGGATTACTTGGGGATATGCTAGATTATATTGCTAAAACCACTCAATGGATTATATTGTTAAAATGACCCAATAGCGTGCATTGCTAAAACTACTCAAAAGACATCTATATAATATCTGCAATCGACTTATTGGATAGTATTGGTCAGAATTCAATTTCAGAAAGGAATCCTGAAAAGGCTTTCAGAAGGCCATGCCTCTCAAACAAATGGGGATTTATTGCAATGCGTTGGTACAATATAGCAAATATCGAAAGGATTTTTTATGGTTTCAGAAAATCATACAAAATCTGTGACCTTTAAACATAACTCTATTCTTTTTTACTTTATCTTTACATCAAACTGTCTTGCTTGATGTAAAGACTGACATGACAGGTGCTTTCTGGTATGTATTAGCTTAGTTTTAAAGAAATTAAGATACGGTATATTCTCCTTCCCTCTCCCCTCTCCAAAGCTAAAATATAATGCAGCAAAATTCAAAGAACCTCGTCATGTCAAAAGATAACAATAGCAGGCTCGAATCTCCCTGTGGTGAAGCAGACAAATCAGCTATATTTCTTGGTGAGTATTGTAACAAAATAAAATGAGGAAGCAGAAGATAGCATTCATAAATTGTTTGGATTTAGTTAAGATTGACTAAACTGGAGAGATAAATGTAGCTATTTGAAACACAACACTATAAAGCAGCAGCTTCACCACAGAATAGCACCAGATAAACCATAATGTAAAGCCAGGAATAGACAGGCAACTGCCTTCCAGATAGCTTTCAATTTCAATCCCTACAATCTCTAGTGAGCACAGCTCAAGATGAAGGAATGCAGGACTTTAAAAGATCTGGAATGCACCAAATAGCCTGCCTTGTGTGAAGCTATAATGTTGTTCTGATTTAATGTGATACCAAATTGTATTCATTGTAGCCTGTAAACCATCGTTTCTTTCCTGAAATAGATCGTACATTTCATTAACCCCAAAACAATACAAAACAAAACAAAAAACCTCAGAATCAGGCCAATATAAATGAATTGCTCTTGTATGACACAACAGAGGTCAATATTGCCAGATGACACATAAGAATGCTATCACAAGCCTGTGCAATAACAGAGAAAATTCACCTAAATCTGCATCACACAGTTAGCTATAGTGACACACTGAATTCTGCTTAGCACTTGGACAAAATTGTGAAAACCAGCCTATGATGATATCACAGGGACAATATGTATATAAATCTGTCTTCTTTTCCAAAAGAAGTGTCTACAAGAGAAGCTTTCCCATTAAACTGAAATATCAGAAAATAAATAACAAGAATCTGAAACTATTATAGATCGGGGTCCCCAACCCCCGGTCCGTGGACCAGTACCGGACTGCGGCATGCCAGCAACCGGTCCGCACAAACAAGCAAAGCCCCATCTGCAGGATGCAGGCAGTACACAAAACCATGCACCCTCTGGTCCATGAAAAAACCTTTCTCCACGGAACTGGTCCCTGGGTGCCCAAAAGATTGGGGACCTCTGAATTATAGCATATTTTTAAAAGAATAACCCACCCATTATCAGAACATCTAATAGCATAAATAACATAAAATTGCTAAAAAGTGAAAGGTGTTTACTTCTCTATCAGAATGCACCATTCTCAGAACCTCAGCAGAAACTTTTTAGCTTAAACAACAATATAAGAGGAAAGTGATTTAATAAAAAAAAGTTCTGGGATCAGCTGAAGTACTTTTTAACTCCATCTGTAAAGTTTATGTTAACAAGCTAAATTTCTGGTGGTTTTATGGAGATGTTTGTATCATTTTCTTGAACAATACAGAAGTGGTTTGCCCCTTCGTTCTTCCAGGATGTTTTCCCAATTTCCTTCTCTAGTATATATTATATCCTGGTGGTCTCCCATCCAAATACTAATCAAGTCTGACTGCTTAGCTTCTGAGCCAGAAAAGATAGTCCATCATGTATCGCCACCTGCTGGAACTTTATACGTTTTTATTTTAATTAAAATTAAGCTGAAGATTTAATCAAATCGGGCACAATCTACAGTATTAAGAAGATTTCCTTAATATATCCTATTTTCTCCACATATCCCATTTAAATCAGGCTTGTACAAGAGATCTTCTTTAGTGTATTATATTCATAATTATTGATTTCCCTTTTAAAAGTTCACCAAAAATATCCAGTTTAAATCACAATCTCTTAAAATTGTGCCAATAATTCACATATTAAAATTTTATCCAGATGTTTACATCATCTTTGTTTAAATCCCAGTGTGCACTGCTACCCCCAGAACTCTGTAGTTTAATCTACAAGGCTTTTAAAATTAATTTCTTACATTAGTCATATTATAGGATAACCCTTCATGAGTAATGAAAAATTTTGTTCAATTCACTGAATTTACTCCCAGATAACTGGAAAGAGAATTGCACTCTAAATCTATTATTTGTACTAAGTACATGAATTCCACCTAAACAGTTAATTATTCACCAGATCAATGGGCCAGCAAAGCACTCAAGGATTCTCTCAACAAAGAAACTGCTTCTTAACAAATTATGCCTGAACTTAATAAACATTTCAGTCAACATTCACTACTGAGGTAGCAAAGAGGGAAAAAAGTGAGGCCTACTTTTGTTCTCATAGACACCAGTATATGTAAAGCACTGCCTCCAGCTGTCAGAGCAAAGAATTAGATATGTTTTATTACACAATAGATGATTCTGTAGTAAATACTACCATAAAGATCATCTGACACTTAAAAAAATATAATCAGAAAATGTTGCTTATCAAATGTAACTTAAAAGCCCTTGCACTAACTTTTGAAGTCCAAAGTGAAAGCACATCATTCTTCAGATATCTCAGTCATAAGTCTAAAGCAGGGGTGTCAAACTGCCGGCCCGCAGGCCAGCCCTGTCATCCGGAAGCCGCACCCACCCCATTGCCGGCAATGGCAAAACCGTCATGATACGTTGCGTGACGTCACGTGACATTGCGAGTTTGACATGTCTGGTCTAAAGCATTCCTACACATTCATAAAGCTTTATTTAAAAAAATCAATCATATCATAGTAGCAGGACAATGAGAAACAGACATTCTATAAAATTAATTCTATGTTCCTCTTTCTGTCACATTCATTTCTTTTTGTTTTCAGACTGCTGGACGGGACACACTGGCTCAAAACAGAAATCTGAACAGAATGTGATGGAGTCTGCAAACTAACAACAGCCTTCCTTAACAGGACTGCTCATATGAGAAACCTCTCTAAAAGATTATCACCAGAAGTGAAGTGGAGACTCCAGAGAGAGAGAGAAGTATGCCAATTAAATATAGAGATGAAAAATATGCTTGTAATAAACAATACTAAAAATAAATTAAACAAACATTTCGAGTTTCAAAATGGTTAATATGGAGATGAAGGTTCCAAATACTAATAATGTGATAACTTGGAGCAAAGCAAAATATAACTTTTAAAAAAAATCAACATGGGACAAAGAAGTATACAAATATGAATCTTTGGCATTGCTAATGTGTTTTACTTTGCATTAAAAATGTATTAACTATAATAAAAAGCTTTGCTCTTCCCTAAATTTAATATTGTGATTGAAACAGTGATACAAAATAAATAAATAAAGCTATTGGAAAATTATGTAAACCATTAAAGAAACTGTTAAAATATTTATATTACCGGTATGCTTACCATGGCCTTCAAACAAATACATTGTTATTATTAAATTCCAACTTGTTTTATTTTCTCAAAAGCCTTTCCTTACCTGTTAATAGCTAAAACAAATAAAATCTATTTATATTACAATGAAATAACAATAATTTTAGACTAAAATGCAATGTTACCTGCATTAGTTGCTGTAGTTCAGATTAAAAATAATTTCTACAATTTCATAAACTAAGACATCAGGATTTTTAACCTTTGCATTCCATTGACAGTACAGTATCTTGTATGATTCCTGCCTTCAAACGGTTAAGCAACAAACTCAAATTACTTTACTGAAACAGATTTTTTTTTTAGTATAAACTTTGAAGTTTTAAAAAGCTACAGGCATTTGTTGGTCTACAAACAATACATGTTCATGACATTTGCATGCTACACAACTTTCTATTTACACAAAACGTCTTTATGGGAAAATCTAATGATACTATTTAGGATCCAAGATAACCTTACCATGAATTACTTACAAACCTACATGCTTCTGACAAACATTGTGTAAATTTTAGACACTGGGATGCAAAAATCATTCATCAATCAACACCAGAGCCAGAAAATGCATTCCAGGAAGCTGCAAGCTATTATGTTTACAATATTTTTTAAGGGTTGGAGTCTTTAAATTCCTGCAGTGGTTTGATGTTCTGAACATACAAGACACATTTGGACAATAAAGATGATATAGACACACATAAAAGAAGTTACACTGGCCACTCTTGTGAAAATATAAAGGGACTGATTAAAAATTCTCTAAAGCTTGTTTCACTGCAGATGGAAAAGAATAAAAAAGAAAAATCTGAAATCTCAGTTCTCAGCATCAAATTAAATACCTATCTTTTTTCCAAAGAAATTTTTTATTATTTTTCATCATAAAAAACAATTATAATCATAGATAAACAGAATAAAAAGTAAAATCCCCCCCCCCCCGGACTTCCCAAACCTAATCCCAGGATAATATTCATATATAAGTAAACAAATACTAATATCTCTAACTCCACAAAATATCTTAATCTACATGAAAAGATAGAAAGAGTAAACAAAATAAGAAAATCTAAAAACCTAAGTTATATTCTACCACTCTATGCTTCTTTTTAATATAAACAATCCATCTTCTCCATATTGATAAAAATTGTTCATTCGAGTAGTTCTTCAGATAAGCCGAAATCTTTGCCATTTCAGCAAGATTCGAAACTTTCAATCTCCAGTCTTCCATTGTAGGCAGAATTGGACTCTTCCAATTTTGGGCTATCAGCAAACGAGCAGCAGTTAAACAGTAAAGCATCAAATTTATCTCTTTTGCATCTAAATCTTGCACAATACCTAAAAGAAACAGCTGTGGGAGAAAGATAATCCTTTTTTTAAAGATTTGCTGTAAGTTCCACCACAATTGTATCCAAAAGGCCTTAATAACCTTACAAGTCCACCACATATGAAAATTAAATACCTATCAAATTAATCCTTAAAAGTAATCCAATTAATAAAATATTATGCTGGTAAAAAGCTGCTGTCATTCAAAATAGGTATGGATAGTCCCACTGAAACAAAGAGGCAAACAGCCAAAGTTGCCTGTCCCACAAAGCTGCCCTAAAGAATTTCTTCAAAGTAAAATGCCAACCATAAACCAACTAAAACTCAAAGGAAGTTTAAACTTAAAAAGAAGCTCCTCCAAGTTTAAAAGCAACCACAAATGCCTTCTGGTAGCTCAAATAATAATACCTTTCGGTTAAACGTTTTCAATTGCATTCAGAAATTCAGGCAGAGAAGAGGGATGAACCATTACCACTATTTATAATTTTACAAGCCTCTGAAAAAACTAAAAAAAAAAAAAGAAGAGAATATACAGCAAGCAGCTTAACCTAATTTCTAATGTGAAGAAGCACTCCTCTGCTAAAGCTCTATAAACAAGAAAAATAAAAAATACGAATGCTGTACAGAACATCTTATGACTTTCAACTCCTAAATTCAAAGTTGAAATTACTCCAATATTACATGCAGCCTCTAATTTTTTCCATTTCAATTTTTATACAAATTATGTACATCACATGCAAAGAGGCAACACATTTAATAATACACAAGTGACTAAAAAGTTGTTCATGCCTGCGACATAAGCCCATCCGAGGTACCCCAGTCACAAGAAAAATGCACCTGAATGGACGATGAATACTGTCTGTTACCATGGCACCTCAATCTAATTACATGACTGATCAGGGCTAGAGAGAGTGCAATGAAACCTACACCACTGACATGTCTCTACATGACTGCACACGCACACACATACATATGCACAGAGAGAAATGTGGAAAACCTATCAGCTTTTTTGCTTACATTTGCAGTCGATGAGAATAAGGACAGTTCTACTCAACACAAAATGACCTATAAAACAGTTAATAGGAGAAAAATAAACCTATAACTCTAAGTAATACAGTATCTCATCAGTTATCTCTTCCTCATTCATAACCCTTGTTCTGAGAGCAATAACACTAGGCTGTCCTCACCAGCCAGCCAAACAAATCCACATTGACTGATGAAATCTGAATTTGCTCTTAAGGTTTCACTGGAGATTGTAATAAGCTGCCCCAGAATGTCACCGAAGTAACTGGTTACACTGAATCATATCTAATTTACTAACCCTGTCAAAACACAAAATGTGGATTGCTAAAGATTTAATCATCTCCACCACGAAATATTTTGTATTCAAATATGTGTAAAAAAGAATCCACAAACTAAGACATGCAACTACATAATTGTGGTTACCTAAATACATAATTGTAAAACTAATTATTATGCACATTAGGAAATTATAAAGTAATGGGATTTCCTTCCTCCTCCAATTCTATCTGGGTTTATAATCACTAGGGAAAAATATTATTCTGGAGGAGTCCCTATTGCATACCTTACGGTAAACAAAATAAAAATAGCTTGTTCTTGTTAGCCACATAGTGTGGCATTATATAACAAGCTTTCAATTTGCTCTCTTTTCATCACTGGATTCTGATTTTTTTCTTTCTTTCTTTCTTTTTTTGCTGCTCTTTTGACAAAATCCAAAACACCTCGGGTATCTGCCTTTTAAAATGTTATTTTGTTGTTACCCTTAGCATTTCAACATAGATCGACTTATGCAGAAAATACTTTCTCTCTAACATTTGCGGGGTGGGGGGGGTACGCAATTGTTTCAAGGCTTCGAGATCAGAATAAGGTTTCGGGAAACTAAAACCAGGTAACTTTTGCAAAAATAATTTAAGAGTGAGTGACGGGAAGCAGGACAGCACCGAGACACACAAAATAGGATTCAAAGGCGGAATTGTCTCTCTTCTCCTCCCCCCCCCTTCCTTTTTCTTAAAGGGGGGGGCAACTCTGTCGCGTCTATTAAAAATTAAAAAAAAAAGCCGATCCTTCCTGGCAGAATCTTGGCAGCCCCTGGAAGGTCCTGCACGGTGCGTCTTTTTCTCCCAGGGAAAGCCTAGCGGAAGGTGAAAAGCAGAAGCTGCCGGGGAGGATGGGTCAAGGTGAAGGGGGAACACAGGCCCCCCCACCTGTAACGGAGCCCTACCTCCTCGCCCGTGCCCAGCAGTGGCCCTTTACTCACTCACTGACTCCTTGCTGTAGTGCCCGGAGGAGCCTCCAGCCGATTTGGGGCCTGAATGTAGGAGCATAGTGGAGGAGCTGGAACTGCTACCGCGGCTGGGCACATCCCAGTCCCAGCGCCGCCTCCTCCTCCTCCACCTCCTCCTCCTCCTGCGCCGCCTCTTCGCTTCATTCACCCCTCCGGCAACCACCCAGCCCCGTACTATACAGTGCAGCGACGGCTGGCCCTCCCTACTATCAAGCCGGGGGAGGGGAGAA